AAGGGTCGCGACCCCTTGGGGGTCGAACGACCCACAGGTTGAGAACCGCCGCCATAGCTGATCCTCACACTTTGGGGAAACCAAACGTAATCTTTCTAGTGCTGTCCTCAAAATCCCTGTATGGCTAAGGCAGATAGAAAGTCTTTAACTGAAGTGTGGGGTTTTGGGATTCTGAAACTAGGCTTTCTGGGCTCTAATACCAGTCCACCACTTATTTGCTCACTTTGGCTCTGAATTTCCTCTGGTAAAATGGTATTACATACCGTGGGTGCCAAAAAAAATGTATACATATGACTTGTATTCATCTTTTATTATCAGTATATATTACAATTTTAATCTAGTTTTTCCTTTCTTAAGTGTATACATTTTTTGGCACCCTCAGTATATAGCAGGTAGTTTTGAAGACTCAGTGAATGTTATTCAGTTGCCAAATATTCACCTAGCCTAGCATTCAAATAGAGGACTAAAAGGCTAATCCGTCTCCAAGATTCCTGTAAGAAATCATAAAGCTCATTACCTGCAGGTAGAGAGGGCTCTAACACTTAAAGATGGACATAGAACTTTAAGCAGTTTTCACCTTAACATACTGTCGCATCCACCTCAGGACTAAAAGAAAAAGCCATGTGCGAGTCCTTTAAGGCATTCATGTGCATTGATTAAAAAACCGAAAACAAAACACTTTGTGATGATCTCTTGACAATCAAAATTGTATTACAACCTTTAAGATAGGAATGAAACATTAACTGTTATAAAAGTTCAGGTATAACCTGGCGTTGAAAGTAACCTGATGTCGATAGAATAAGTCAGGGATAAAGGGAAAGAGCATGGGAGGGTCACATATAAGGGAAACTCAAACAACTGTTACATCATTTTAAACAGTTCATTGCCTTCTCTGCCCATCTTTTGACTAGCCTGGAATGTCAAAAGTAGAATTAAAAAAAAAAAAAAATACCCAACCAAACTACTTCAGGATTCTCTACAAGGAATCTAGAACATGTTGAATGTAGGAGGGAAGGTAGTAGTAAACAGCACACTTCCTCAGACAAACAAGACAAAAAAGGAGTTTTATAATCTTTTATTATCAATAACAAACAGCTGCTTTACCGCCTTTACCAGGCAGCTGTTAAAGGGTTGGGATAGGAGGACACCCTTGACCCTAACAAGGAAAACTCAAATTAAGCCTTTATATACAAGCAAATTTAGAGCTCTTTTAAGTGTCCAAAGCTATTAATTAGTTTAACTGAGGCATTAAACTAATTCTGAATTAACATATTTGAATAACCAGAAACTAAAATGTTCAAATTTTTTTCTAGTACAAAAAAATTAATTTGCTTTAGTTATAAAAGAGCTCTGTCAATATACACAAACTATATACTTCAGACATTCACAAAAATGTGAGCAGAAGGCTTATCAAAAGACATTTAATACAATTAGTTTTCAACAACCCCTTGGTGGTCCATATCTACAAAGATATCCAGCCCAACCCANGAGGGCAGTGTCACTGGCCCTCATATGTGGGATCCGAACCGGGGCCCTCTGGCGTCCCAAGCCAGCTCTTAACCATCGCACCACTCGGCTGGCCCTTTTATAATCTTTTTGATCACGGCCTCTGTTTACTCCTTTTTCCTTACATGCTTTTGGCTTCTGTCTGACCATACCTCCCATGCTGCCCACTCTCAAAGACCAAGCATTCTGTCACTATGTCTCACATTCAAGCTCCCCAAGAAAGTGCTGTTCACGTAGCTAATCCTTGTTATCTCAATTGGACAGAGCCACCATGTCCAGCCGTCTCCTAGGCTCTAAGGCAGACACTCTAAAGTCAGGTGCTATTCTGTGATCCAATGGGATAGAGTCAGAGTGGTGGGATCACATAGTTAGCTTTCTTCCAAATGGGCTATGCATATGGCAAGTGCTCAGAGCAAAAAGAGTTCTTTTACAAAGGAGATCAGACTGGCTCCTTTCACAATGAAGCACACAGGGATTGAAGCAGCTAGACAGACCTGGGTACAAGTCCTGCTTCAGCCATGAGTACTACCTGCACAATCCTGGGCAAGTCACAACTCGCCTAGTCCCCAGCTTCCACATCAGCAAAAGGGAGACAGTATGCTTACCTCCTGAGGCTACTGGGAAAGGAAATGAAGCAATGTACGTGAGGTGCTAGCACAGTGCCAGGCACATAGCCGGCACTCAGTAAAATCGTCTTCTATATTAATGGGCTTTCTCTCTGCACTCTCCCTGTGTCTCCCACCCAGCATTGTGATGACCACCTGCTCCACTTTCTTTGCCCTGGGCATGATGCCCCTCCTCCTGTATGTTTACTCCAGAGGGATCTATGATGGGGACCTGAAGGACAAGGTACCCTATGGAGGCATTGTGCTGTCACTGGTCCTGATTCTCATTCCTTGCACCATAGGGATCTTCCTCAATGCCAAACGACCACAATATGTACGCTACGTCATCAAGGTAAGAACCCGGGGGTCTGGGCAGAAAGCAAGTAGCCCACTTTCATCCCAGTGTATGGCTTGAGGCAAGCCATTTGGGCTTTTTCTGGGTTGGTTTTTCCCTTGTTGAAAAAAGAAAAAGTCTATTATTAGGGTACCTACTTAATGGGATTGTAATGTACCTGAGAATACTTTTGAAAAGTTAGGAGGAAAAAAGTAAAACACCACTATAAGATATAAACATTATTTTAATAATAAAATTAAACTTTTATTATGCACCTACTAGATGCTAAGTTTTCTGCTACATTCTCTGAGGATTCACTGTCCTCAAAGAGTTTATTTGCAGAAAGTGAAGTAACACACGAGAAATGAGACCCAACACGCTGTACAATCAAACATTGGCAGGATGCAAGAAGGTGAGGCCAGTGAGGGCTAGGTGATCAAGGAAGGCTTCCTGGAGGGGACGGTCTTGAGCCAGACCATGAAGAAAGAATAGGATTGGGGTAAGCCTGGGGAGAAGTCTGAATAGAGGAGTTCAGAGGGGGACCAAGGGCAAACTGGGCTGACTGGACAAGAAGCCAGAGGGGAAGAGATGATGTGTCCACTCCCAGCATTTCAGGAGCAGGATGGGAGGAGAGTGGAGTGAGTAGGACCCCAGAGGCGTTAGGGGAGCACTGTGGTCACAGACAGGGCATCATGCCATCACCTTGCCCTTGGAAGAATCATGGACTCTTGGGAGTGCAACCATGGTCCCTCTGCCAACTTTTCTGATTAGCGCTACTTCCCTGTCAGTCTCCACTCTGGCTCATTGTACTTCACTGCTCAGGAAGGACTCTGCCTCCTGACATTCTGAGGCCCTGTTTCTGTCCTGCCCCTGGTTCTATGCCTTTGGGCCAGTCTACAGAGCATGCTACTTGCAAACAAAGTCTTGGCAGCAGCTTGGCCCCTAAGACAAAGAAGCTGCAAGTTGGGTTTTCAGGGTTTTATTTTCACACTACTGTTGTCAAGAGTAGTTTTTGCCTTTGTCCTGGTACAGTGCTAAAAGCATGGCCACAGCTCCCCTTCCCACCTGCTGGAAGACATGGACTCATGCTCCCTCCTGTCCATGGCTGATCGCCCCACTCTGCTCTGGATGGCATCTTCCATCCTCTCCACCCTTGCTTCTCAGAGATCTTTTATTGATCATGTCCCCTACCCCTGCAGCATTCCCCATCTTGTTCTCATTTCTAGAACATCTCTGTATTAATTCTTCACAATCAGTAAGATACAGGTTCACAGCTCTCCTATCTTTAAAAACAAAGCAATCCCTCACCTCCCATTCCAGCCAACACCTCTCTTTCCTCCCCACTTCCTAGCGACGCTTTGGGAGACACCGCTCCCTCAACCACCCCCTCTCACACACCTTCCACTTCCACACACCACCACGGAGGCTGCTCTCACAAGTGACCAGGCCCCTCGACAACGCACCCTGCTCTTCTGTCCTCCTTGGTCTCCCATCCACTCGGCATCTTGATGACCACTTGTTTCACTTTCTTCACCAAATGTAATGCACATCTCTCAATTCCTCCTTGACCTTTTGGCAGCTTTTGGGGTGGCTGACTTGCCATACCAGAATGTATGGCCTCCTCAGAAGCCTTCTTCCTCAACCTCAGTGACTCGAGCACTCCCGCTTTCCTACAACCTCTCTGGCACTGCTTTTCAGACTCCCTTGTGAGTTTCTTTGGTAAAAGTTGCTTCTCTGCATTCAGCTCAAACTTTCTGCTTTTTTTTTTTTTTAATTGGGGAATTGGGGGAGGGGGACCAGCCGAGTTGTTGTTCTTCAATCTTAGTTGTAAAGGGCGCCAGTCGCCATCTGGCTGCCCATCAGCAGCTTGTGGCCTCTAAGCTCAAGATGCTGTGTTCATTCTTAGTTGTGGGTGGGCATAGCCCACCATCGAACAGGCAGCCTTGTTGTTAGGAGCACGTGCTCCCACCAGCTGAGCCATCCTGCCACCTGTAGGCAGCTCAGCGGCAGCTCAGCTTGGGTGCAGCATCACTGGCCCATGTGGGAGTCGAACTGGTGGCCCTGCTGCTCAGAGCTCACGCTCTTAACCAACTGAGCCACTCGGCCGGCCCGCTTTCCGCTGTTTTTGCCCGGCTTTCCTAAGGCCAGGATCTAGTCCTGGGATCTAGTCCATCTCAACAAACATCTACAAGCTGAGATGACTCGCAGAGCAGCATTCTCAGCCCTCAACTCTAGAGTCCATTTATTAACTGACAAATCTTTCTACATGAATGTGCCTCGGGCATTTAACTCACTGCCTTAAATGAAAATCATCTCCTCCCCAAACCTGCTCCTCTTCTCTCCTCTGGGATTCTCTCAACGAATGGCATTCAATGTGCCCAACTGCCTGAGCCAGAAACTGGAAGTGATTCTCAACGCCCCCTCTCACTAATCAGTGATTGTCAATTCTACCTGCTTCTGCTTGAATCCATCCATTCCTTCCCATCCTGCATCTACTGTCTTCATTCCAGCCACTATCCTGTCTCACTAAACTGAAATAGCCTTCTAGACTGGCTCCCTGGCCCAGTTTTAATCTGAGGGTGGAAAGTACAAACTGCTGTCATGTCACTCCACTGCTTAAAGCCCCTCGTTGGCTCTTCGCTCTCCCCCAGGATATAAAATCCTTAATGTGGCTCCTCAGGCCTTCAGTCTCAACTGACCTCTCCAGTCTCAGCTCTTTTCTTTGCATATGCCATTCCCTCCATCTGGAACACTCTCCCCTCTCCAAGTTCCACCTCACTCACTGGGCTCAGGCCTATTCACCGCTCACATCTCAACACAAACAGCACCTCCTCCAGGAAGCTTTCCTTAACCTACAAGGCTGAGTAGCATTAGGGTGCTGGTCCTATTTACTCCCATAGCACCCAACACTGGCTTGTTGTAGCATTTATCATACTGCATTATAAATACCTGCTCATTTCTATTCCCCACTCACCTCGAGTTCCTCAAGAAGCAAGGTCCTAAGGCTGTGTCTTAACACTGAACTCCCAACACCTAGCACAGTGCCCCACAGCCAACACCTGAGAATAAACGAGTCAAGGGCAAGTTCTCTCTCCCACACATTAGCAGGGGAAAAAAACCCAGAAATATGTTGTGTTCATCATTTCGTTTCTTCAAGATAGTTTGTCGGGGTATAGGAATAAAGAAAAAAAAATCACAGAATGTAAAAATGTCAAGTGACCCCTGATATGACTTAATGCAACTCTGCCCTCCCCCATTTTATACATGAGAAAACCAAAAATTAGAAACCCATATGCAATTGATATAAGAATATATGCCTCCTTTTTTACCTCGGAATAACTTTAACGTATTCTGAGGATACAAAAAGAATCTCAGATCTTAGAGTTGGAAAGGCCTTCAAGATGAAGTTGTCTCAGGCCTTATTCCCATTTTATCGGTAGAATAACTGAGGCCCAGGGAAGTTACCTGGCAGAGCCAGGTTTTTCAATCACCCTCCTGTTCTGGTTGTGTTGC